CCCGAGCAGGCCCGGCCCGCGCGCGCCGCCGAGCAGCAGGCCCCGAGGCCGCGTGCACGGGGTGCGGGCGCCCGGAGGAGGCCCCGCGGGGAAGGGGGCCGAGACCTGGCGGAGCCGTGACCGCGGCTCACCTTCGCGCCCGGCGGCCGAGCGCTCGGCCCGCCGCACTCGTGCCCCGGCCCCGGGCGTGTGCGCACCTGCGTACCCCAACAGGTTTACACCGTAGCCACTTTGACAAAAAGATATTTTTGGATGTTGTATTGCCATCTTGCACCAAGTCTAACGAGTCATTCGCTTTTCCCTTGCACCGGGTGTGACGGAGGAGAGGGGCCGTCGAGAGGTGACTTTGCCTTCTTTTCAGCCGTTGGCAAACTTGGCTGCACGTTAGAGTCACCCGAGCGTTAAGACTCCTGACGCCCAACTTGGCCCCAACCCAGTGAAATCAGCGTCTCTAAGGTTGAGAGGAGACACCAGTCAGTTCTTTAAAGCTCCGTGAGGATCTCAGTGTGCAGAGGAGTTTGATAGCCAGTGCTTGGGAGCTGTGTACTGTGTAAAAGGCGAGGAGGTGGTGCCCATGGAGACCTGGACGGGTCTCCCCGCCCCCCCGCCCCCGGAGAGTGTGGGAACCGACCCTGGGCGGATCCCCCAGAAGCCCCCTCTGTTCCTGGCCTGCTTCTCGACCGGGTTCTGACAAGTTAGCCGGGAGCTGCTCCGTTGTGTTGGATCATTTTTCAGCCTTAGGTCTCCAAACCTTCCAAAAGCAAATTGGGCCTGGGGACGCTCTGAGCGTCCGCTGTCGGCCCTTGTCTCCTCCTATGGGCCCGGAGGAGTCAAGCCTAAATCTGCTCAGATGGATGGCTTTGATGGAAACATCGCCTCTTTCTTCTGCAGGGCCTGGCATTCAGGGCCCTGTTCCCCTTTATCCCAGGTCACCGAGCGATTCCCTGGAAGCTGTGGGGTGTTCCTCTGTGACGGTCACAGCTGCTTAGAGTTAGGGCAGTTGGCATGCCTGTCCCTAGCCTGCCCGGGTCACCCCTAAGCAGCAGGCCACCACGTTGCCCAGCCTGAGGGCCTCTTCAGCAGCAACAGGGAGAAAGGAAAACGATACCTCCTCCCATCGCACATGTAAGGAGAATTGGCTATCATCCCTGCTGTTGTCCATTATTAAGCCCTGGTTGCTGCTATGGTATGGGGCTGGTTCCCAGGTCACCAATGAACTGTGACCACCCCCTCTTGGTCACAGGGTTTAGCTCCCAACTTGTACCCAGGGGGCCTCACCTTCTGGGGGCAGAGCTGCACCCTGGGGTGCCCCTCCTCCAGGAAGCAATGACGGGACTGGGAAGTCTCCTCTTCCTCTTAGGCACGTCCTCTTCTCCCCTCGTCAGTGAATGTTTTCTGGCGAGCCTATTTTCATTTTAGAAAATATGAATAAGTAGTTGTGTATGGAAAAAAGGCTGCCCTTCAGCTCACTCACTGGGGCTCTCTGGTGGCTCCTTGGGTCACAGCCCTGCTGGGTACGGTGGCACTTTTCTCAACTGTGTTTTTGTTCCCTGCGGCACCTAGAGCTGCCCCATTTGGCGGTGAAACCAGGTGCCGTAGAATGACCACCACTTCTCCGTGCCTCAGTTCCATCATCTCGAAGGCGGAGATAATGATTCTTGCCCCAACCTGCTTAGAGATGGCTGGGAAGATTAGGGTCAGATGACTTACAAGAAAATTCTTACTCTGAAACAGAAAGCACTAGGCAACTCCAGAGAGAGAGTTCATCACTAAGTCTAGCCCCTGAGGAAAGCGGCTGTTCTGTGAAAGCGATATGTGACATTGTAGGCGGGGGGGGGGGGGGGGGGGGGGTTGTCCACAGCCTTGACCTGCCAAGGGTCGAGGTAGGTGAACCAGTGACCATGGCAGGAAATGGGAAGGTTGGCTGGGCTGTTTGAGCTGTCACTGGGGACATTAACGAACACCGTGGCCTGGAGGGTGGGGGCATGGCGGAAGGGCGAGAATCTGAGGCATTTGATTCGTTGTTTCCTGTTGTCAGGCCCCACTCCCCACTCACATAGGGTCTCATCCCAGGCTGTCACTTTCTCGCTCCGCACACAGGCTCAAGAATGGGACATGGATGCCCGGCGACCGATGCCTTTTCAGTTCCCGCCCTTCCCAGATAGGGCACCCGTCTTCCCTGACCGCATGATGAGAGAGCCCCAGCTGCCCACAGCAGAGATCTCGCTCTGGACCGTGGTGGCCGCCATTCAGGCCGTGGAGAGGAAGGTGGATGCCCAGGCCAGCCAGCTGCTAAATCTGGAGGGGCGGACGGGCACCGCCGAGAAGAAGCTGGCGGACTGCGAGAAGACGGCCGTGGAGTTCGGGAATCACATGGAGAGCAAGTGGGCCGTGCTGGGGACCCTGCTGCAGGAGTACGGGCTGCTGCAGAGGCGGCTGGAGAACATGGAGAACCTGCTGAGAAACAGGAACTTCTGGGTGCTGAGGCTGCCGCCAGGCAGCAAGGGGGAGGTCCCCAAGGTACGTAGTGGTCCGCGCGGGCAGAGATGGAAGCGAGGACCCGCACATGTGAACAACTCTTGATTTCAAATTGCCAGTCCTGCCCATGAAACTCTCTGGCTCCCCCATGTGGGATTTCAGTTTTTCTTAAAGCCTGCCTCCACTTAAACAACCTAGTCTTGAATTTTCTAGCTCCGTGAGGCTGCCCTCTACCCATTGCCCGCGGAATCCGTGTGCTGCTTCTCTCTGTTGGCCTTTCCCGTCACCTTTCCCAATACCCCCAAGGTACCTGGGTGTCTGCAGACTCCTGCAGCTCTTCACTGCTTGGGGTTTCCCCTTGGCACCTACAGAGGACCATGAGTCATTGGTTATCTTTGGATGAACTTATCCGAGCGTGGCTGAGACACACCCCAAACCATGCTAACTGGAATTGCTAGGAAGTTGTGACCGTCCCCTCTGTGGGCCCCTCTTGCAGCTCAGAATTCATGCTCCATCTCCCCCTTCCATTCGCTCTCCCACTGTCCCTCTGGATCCTCAACATAGCACGGTCGATCGATGACCCTGCCTTCTGGTCCACTGAGAAAATGGGAGTCCCCAAAAGAGATGCACGTGAAGCCACCACGTTCATCCGATGCTGCCTCGGGCCTGCTGCCTTCCCTGTTCCTGCAGCCTTACTGGCCCACCCTTCACCGACCCCGGGGCTCACTCTGGCCTTCTCCCCCTTTCTCCTCTGGGTCGTCCACTCCCCCCTCTACTGGTTGCTCTAGACATCTTCGAACATTGCCTGTCTCTGTCATGAAACCGTCCCTAGACCCTGCCTCTCCCTCCAGCCCGTGCCTCATTTCTCTGCTCCTCATTAGAGCAGAATTCCTTAACCGAGTCATCAGTATTTGCTGTCTCCAGTTCCTTCTCTCCCTCCCCTTTTTCATCCTTTTATTATAGAAAATTCAAATATACACACAAGTAGATAGAATAGTGTGATGAACTGTCCTGTGCCGTCATCCAGTTTTGTTTTTTTTTTTTTAATTTTTTTTTTTAA